AAATTAAATTAAATTAAATTAAATTAAATTAAATTAAATTAAATTAAATTAAAAAGTATTGCATCCATGAAACTAGAACAGGACTCTGTAAAAATAGAACATTCAGGGAGCACAAATTCGATAGAAGAATTGGAAGATAAAGAAATCTCTCAAAAAGTGGAGCAAAAAGATAAAGAGATGAAAATAGGAAAAAGGAAAGATAAAAATTAGAGAGCCAGTGTAAAAAATCTAACTTCAGAATATTAGTTCCATAAAGGGATAACTGAGAAAATGAAGAGAGGAAGCGAAATGAAATAATTCAAGAGAATTTCCCAGAATTGAAGTGCATAAATTGCCGGATTAAAACGGCACATCAAGTGCCTTGTATACAATAGATAAAAGCAGACCTATTACAAGATATAGCATTGTAAAATTCTAGAACATTAAGTGTAATAACAATAAAGGATTCTGTAATCTTCAAAAGAGGAGAGGAAGAGAAGAACAAGTAAGAGAAACCAAACATCAAGAACACTTTAGGGGCACCTGGGTGGCTCAGTCGGTTAAGACTTCGGCTCAGGTCATGATCTCACCGCTCATGGGTTTGAGCCCCACATCAGGCTCTGTGCTGACAGTTCAGACCCTGGAGCCTGCTTCAGATTCTGTGTCTCCCTCTCTCTCTGCCCCTCTCCCACTCATCCCGAGTGTCTGTCTGTCTGTCTGTCTGTCTGTCTCTCTCTCTCTCTCTCTCAAAAATAAACAAACATTAGGGGGTTTGGGTGGTTCAGGTGGTTAAGTGGCCAACTTTGGCTCAGGTCATGATCTCACGGTCTGTAGGTTTGAGCCCTGAGTCAGGCTCTGTGCTGAGAGCTCAGAGCCTGGAGCCTGCTTCAGATTCTGTCTCCCTCTCCCTCTTCTCCTCCCCCACTCATGCTCTGTCTTTCTCTCTCTCTCAAAAATAAACATTTAAAAATAAATAAATTAAATAAATAAATAAAATGTTAATGCTTAAAAAAAATGAACATTTTGGGTTTCTCACCAGTAATACTGGAAGCAAGCAGAAAATGGAGCAATGCCTTCAAAACTCTTTCAGCTCTTCAATAATTACTTCCAACCTAGAATTTTCTATTCAGGCAAACTCTTAATCAAGTATGAGAGAAGACATGTGAGCCTTAAGAAGTTTACCTCCTCTGGGGTGCCTGGGTGGCTCAGTCAGTTAAGTGGCCAACTTCAGCTCAGATCATGATCTTGCAGTTCATGAATTTCAACCCCGCATTGGGCTCTATGCTGACAGCTCAAAGCCTAGAGCCTGCTTCAGATTCTGTGTCTCCCTCTCTCTCTGCCCCTCCCTGCTCATGCTCTGTCTCTTTCTCTCTCAAAAATAAATTTTAAAAAAAATTTAAAAATTAAAACAAAAGTTTATGTCTGCACATTATTCAAGAAGCTGCTGGAGGAGACTATGCCAATATCATGAAATCTTCAAAAAGAATGTTGATGAGCCCAACTTATTTTCTAACTCATATTTGATTTTGTCTTAACCACATATTGATAAAGTTCCTGACTGCTTTATCTATTTCCTAGGTCATTTTACCCCACAGAAGTGTTCTCTGACCTACTACTAAAAACCAGACGAAAGCCATAGTGAAACCAAAGGCAGCAAATACAGAGTGGTCTATTCCATCTACTATGTTTCTCTGGGACCCGCAGTAACAAATGCATATTACAAGCTGCCAGGGGCCCACCTGCTGGGAGCCATATCTCTCAGGGCTCACCCAATTCTCCAGAAGGGGCTCTTAGAACCTATCTAAGAACAGAACTTGATAGGAACTCAGAGACTCTGCCCTGCTGACCTTCCCCCTGAGGGCCTCTTGTCATTCCTTACAGAGGTGCCTACCCACATGACTCTCAGCCTGCACTGGGTAGCAACAGCCTGACTTCTTCTTGAGAGGATTAGTCATGCCAACCAACACAGTGCTGGATACGTTTTGTCACATGTCACTTGTTACTAGCATCAGGACAAGTGGACATGCCTGAAGTATGTTTTCTATTGGAGTAATAATGGCTAACAACTAGAGAGCAGTTACTGTGAGCCAGGCCTTATTCTGAGATCCTTAAAGATGTAACTTTGCCTTCTTTATGGAGGTATTACAGATAATAATAAACTTCCAGAGAATTATCTTTGTCACTTTGATCCACCCAGTAGCAGAAGGCAATGCTAAACGACCCTGTCCACTTATATCTTTTAATCCATTTTTAGCCTATCATTTCTTTAGCATTCTTGCCAGGAAACTCCCATATGCACAGGTATTCTTCATATTTGATAGGAATAAAATTTGAAGAGCAACTTGAAGCCATTCCAAATGATATGAACTTCCCCCCAGGTCAGGTGAAGACTTGCCACTTCCTTTTCCTCTGACAAAGAGTGTAGGGTCTCACCGTCTCCTGATGCAGCCAGTAATTGTCCATTTCTACAATTTCTAGCATTCTTTAGAAGGTTGTTGGCGATCTATTATATACCCCATTTCTACTTCCCAGAACTCTAGACCCAGCACTCCAGTTGCGCGCGCGCGTGTGTGCGTGTGTGTGCGCGCGTGCGTGCCTGGGCACGAAAGCTCTCTACTGGAAGGCTCATGGAAAAGCAACGTGGAAGAAGAACCAGAGAGCAAATCTACTCAAGTGCAAACGAACATGGGCATGGAAGAGGCATCAGATCAAACAAGTAGACCCCACTTTCAAGCTTTGCAGACGTGAACCTCAGATCCCGTAAATAAGGCACACGCTCTTGTCACCGGGAGGCAGACAGACACCGCTGTAAGGCAAGCCCCTTGGCTCACTTCACTGACTGAACAGAATCAAAGGTTTTGCCCCAACCAGCAAATGCAGAATGTGTTTTGAGGCCCCCGGCTCTGGTGAGCCGTCATATGAAATAAATTACCAAGGCTCAAAGTCGGGATGTGAGAGAAACCGCGGAGGAGTGGCAGCCAACCTGGGCAGCGTGGAAGCCGCTGTGCAGGGCAGACACGGTGCAAATGCATTTCTTGTTACTGGGCTGGGCGTTAGTGCTACAGCCACACCGCAGTGCCTTGTGAACTGGAAAACAGCAAATGGGTTCACGGTTCAAATGAGCTCTGGGAACTCCAGATCTTCCTGGAAAACCCACTTAGCTTGGTGTGCATGCAGGTATTTCAGAGCTCATCCGGCTCTAATTAAAACTCCTATTTCCAGTCTGTGTTCACCCAAACAATGTGGAGTCAAACCACAAGAAAATCTGTTATCACTCAAATTGGTACATATTTTTTCATATGACTGAAATATTATATAAAATCATGAGCTGTTAGATATGCAAGTAAAAATTGAATGCAGACACCGATTCCCATGCTACCTTTGTCTCACCTTCCAGGGGATGTGAATCATAGGTCACAGCTGCATGCTGAGGGCACGCTCCTTGAGATCAAAGCCTTTGCCACTGGAGGAAGTTATTCGTGTTAGCCCAATCCACAAACCACGCTTTGTGCCCTCCCCTTGTCCGCGTTCACGCCAACGTTGTAAAAAGTAATGTGTTTGAATGATGCTTTAAAGTGCTCTATGCAATTAAGTGTGAAAGCAAGGGGGGCTAGTGTTCCTTCAGTGTACATATGAAACTTCCAATAAATTTAAAGTCCTTGGGTGTGTTTGGGGGAGGGAAAGATTAAAAAGAGGAAAGTTTTTGAAAGGAACAAACACTTCAAAAAGGTAAACCTGAGGTGTTTTTCCCCCTTATAATATCAAAAATGTTTTTATAGCTGGAAAATGTCTACAGAGCAAAAAAAATATGTACCAAAAAAAGTACACTGCTTCCATAGTCACTTGTACCCAATTTGCATCTCACTTTCCTAAAAAAAAAAAAAAAGTACCCCTTTTAGTTATTATCACAAAGTATTCCAAACCAGCCTCACCTTGCCCCGTGTTTTAGTGGTTGGAAAATATCCCTTGCTCTTTACTTTGTGTTAGCTGCCCATCCAGTACAGAAGTTTGCTCCACGTCTCTGTTATGCAGATGTTTATGTTCATTTTGTTTAATGTTTACTTTTGAGAGAGAAAAAGAGAGCACACAAGCAGGGGAGGGGCAGAGAACAAGGGGGAGACACGGAATCTGAAGCAGGCTCCAGGCTCTGAGCTGTCAGCACAGAGCCGTCGGGCTCGAACTCACGGACCGTGACATCATGACCTGAGCCGAAGTCAGACACTTAACTGACTGAGCCACCCAAGCGCCCCTATTTATACTTAACTTTTTTAATGTTTATTTATTTTTGAGAGAGAGGGAGAGACAGAGTGTGAGCAGGGGAGGAGCAGAGAGAGAGGGAGACCCAGAATCTGAAGCAGGCTCCAGGCTCTGAGCTGTCAGCACAGAGCCCCACTCGGGGCTCATTTAAAGCATTCCTCTGAGTGCCCTAGCTTGCTTATGCAGCTCTTCAGAAAAATAAAAGCATATATTCCCGAGTCCAATTCAAAACCAAGACACGTATATAGTATGTTTTTCAGATGGTGGTCTGGGAAAGTAACACATCCTTACTCAGTTTGTAAAGCAGCATTAGCCACACAACCTACAGGTGTATTAGCAGAGCAATGAGTAACATTCATTGACAACAATAAGTAAAAATAAAGGAAAAACAATAAATTCAGAGAGCAGCATCACCAAGAGAGTCCTAGAAGTGAGTGCTCTCAAATGTCAAGCCATTCATACCCTGAGCACACAGAAAATTCTACACTTCCAACACTGTACCCTTGATTGAGAATGTTCCTGGCTAAGGAAAATGGGCAGAGCAGGATAAATGAACTAGTGAAGAATAAATCACAGTGCCTGGCACACAGTAAGCTTGGTAGCTAATAAAATCATTTCACGTTGTATGAATGTTAGGTAACCTCCGGGCCCAAGGCCAGTGAGTCACTCCAGGTACGTTTAAGGAAGCAACCTCACTGCCTACCACATGTACTGTGCTAAGCCATCCTTTTTTCCTTTTATTTTTTTAAATTTCACCCTTGCCTCTATTTTAGGCCTTCAAAATACTGGACTGCTGGGTTCCACTGGTCGAGCTTTTAGACTAAACATGTACTAAGTACCATATGTGATATGGAATGAAACCTCACGGTTAATGCAAGAAACTTGGGCTAAATTAATTCCCCAAAGAACAGCAGCCCTCTTAATGCATTCGGGGCTAGAAGTTACACAGGTCCTAGAAAAAGTCATTTACAGAGTCAAGTCCTATAAAGAGTCCTGTGTTGACTGAACGTTACATCCTAACGTAAAGCAAGCGAATGCACAGCAGATCCTCCCCTCTGCAACCTTTATCTAGCTGATTCCTGGCACAGCCAACACACTGCAGGCTCTCTGAAACACCGAGATGCCAGCAGCCTGCCAAACATTATGACTAGTCCATTTCACACTCACAGTTCATTAGTTTATATAATATGAAATTATATAACTGGCATCCAGGGTTTAGGAATAAATGCAGCTGACTTGGAACGCCAGAGGAGGGGGGAGCCACAGAGCAGCAAGAAGATATGAGCGAGTACGGGCAGAAGGCAGGTTGGGTTTTGGCAGGCATCAGCCCAAGGGGCTGCTTTCCAAGAGAGCCTTGCAAGGTGCGGCGGCAACAGCTGATGCCAAGTGAAGCCTGGGCCATTGGTGTGCCCAGAGGGGTCAACCAGAGATGAGGTGGGGACTGCAGCAGGTGCTGACAGGGCTAGACTGACCTTAGGGCCAAAATTCCTGCTTCCTCATTCCTCCCCAACTACCCAGGGCTGGACTCCAGGGAACAGAAGCCAGAACCAGACTTCAGAACTGGCGAAATAATCACCATGATAATGAATACCACTTATGGAGCTCTTACTTTGTACTGAGCATGGGTTTGTGTGATTCAAATGCATAACCTGTATGAAGCCAAGTGGCCTCATGGTCCAGTCCCGACATGGAAATGCAGTCAACACAAAAGCCTGGCAACCAAGTAGCAGTTGAAAGTAATTGTAATCCTAGTTTCACTCTTTCTTGAAAACAGCACAATCGTGCACTTTTAAACTTATTTAAAATCCTCTTATCTTTTTTTATTCTCAGTACATCTGTTTCACCCTAAAGTTGCTCCTAAAATAACCCCCCTATAAGCTTTTCCCTCTCTCCACCTTCCTCCCTTCCTTCCCCACATGTTGTTTCTTTCTCTCCCACAAGGAATCCTCTGCCCTTTCTGGTGTGAATTCTCTCTGCGTGAGTTCTCCAGCTTTTCCTCTCATGCACTGCACACTTGGATCCGTACACGGCTCAGGGAGAACAGTTAGACAAAACAGGAAGAGGAGTATGGAAGAAGATCAAAGGATGTAAAGACAGGAAGAGGCTGTGAATAGAAGTGCTCAAACATTGTTTAAAGGTCTCTATGGGGCGCCTGGGTGGCTCAGTCGGTTGAGCGTCCGACTTCGGCTCAGGTCATGATCTCGCGGTCCGTGAGTTCGAGCCCCGCGTCGGGCTCTGTGCTGACAGCTCGGAGCCTGGAGCCTGTTTCAGATTCTGTGTCTCCCTCTCTCTCTGACCCTCCCCTGTTCATGCTCTGTCTCTGTCTCAAAAATAAATAAATGTTAAAAAAAAATTTAAAGGTCTCTATTATCTTCACAATAAGCCTCAGAGGCAGGTGATCCCATTAAACTTATGGGAACATAGGGTTTAGAGGTTCGGTAACCTGTCCAGTTAAGTGAAATGGAAGAGTCAGGATACAAAGCCAAGGAGCTCTGACCTCAAAACCCTTGACTACTGTTTGCCTTTTCTAGAAAGTGTCTAGTTCCCTGCTCAGATAGTCTGGGTTCACAGCTAGAACTCTATTTCACCTCTTCCCAGATTTGAAAAACAGCCACAACAGAATCTACTGGATGAGGGACCAAGGACCAGAGCAAAAGCAAGGCTGGCTGGCCTTGTGGGATAGGCATTAGGTGGGCTTGTTGGAGCTGGCAATCTGTGTTCCTCCAACTTCTTGAACAATTTATATAGGGAAGTTGGACGCGAGATTATCTGTACATCCCGTTTTCTTGTGGACCTCAAGCTTTTTAAGCATTTTTATATATTTTGAGAGAGAGCATATGCACAAGTGGAGGAGGGGCAGAGACAAAGGGAGGGAGAGAATCCCAAGCAGGCTTCACGCTGTCAGCACAGAGCCTAAAGCGGTGCTTGATCCCACAAACTGCGAGATCATGACTTGAGCCAACTAAGATCAAGAGTTAGACGCTTAACTGACCGAGCCCCAGAAATTAATCTTTTAAATTTTTTTTTCAACGTTTTTATTTATTTTTGGGACAGAGAGAGACAGAGCATGAACGGGGGAGGGGCAGAGAGAGGGAGACACAGAATCGGAAACAGGCTCCAGGCTCCGAGCCACCAGCCCAGAGCCCGACGCGGGGCTCAAACTCACGGACCGCGAGATCGTGACCTGGCTGAAGTCAGACGCTCAACCGACCGCGCCACCCAGGCGCCCCAATTAAGCTTTTAATGTAGCATCAGGCCTCCCTCTTCCAGGGCCCAGAAAAGCCTACACGTAACTGACATTCTTCATTATAATAATATGGCTGTAATAAAAAATTAATTTGGTAATAAAAATTGTTTATTAAAGTGATTAGGCTATTGGGAGAATTTAATGCTATATTTATAAAACAATGGAATCGATGAAGGGACTCATGAATTCTTTTGAATCATCTACTTGAGAGAAGGAGGGAGAAAATATGTTATGTAAAGGGAAATTATTAATAACTTTTCAAAATCCTCAAGAGATTATATAATTTACCAAAAAAATCATTGGAATGTTTTGTTTTGATTAAAGAACCAATTTAAAGTTTGGAAAGCAGAATTGAAAGAAAAATTGTTCCATCTGAGAATAGAGAAGTATCGATATCAGGCTTCCTTGGGGTCAGGACTGGGACGACTCTTGTTTATTGATTTAGTAATGATGCACAGGACCAAAATCTCCACATTTATAGCTAGTACTCAATACTCAAGAGTGGTGGAGGGTTCCAGCAATGAAAGTAGACAGCTAAAATGTGTGAGTATGAAAAAAAAGTGATGGATGAAATTGTGTTAAGTACACATTTAGAGGAAATAGTCTAAGCTTCATATAGGTATATCTGCTTTAACAGCTTTCATATGATAGTAAGATGAGGCATAAGCAAATAGATAAATTGATAAAAATATGGCATTGTAGACCAAGAGTTAAAAGTTGCAAGCTAGGAAAGGGATTTAAGTGTGAGTTACAATACTGAGGCATCTAAGCCAGTAACCGAGGAGAGCTGGCTACTGTGTTCTTCCTTCTCATTTTTCCACCAGTTCCTCTTTATGCAGAGAGAGAAAGAGAATAAGAATATAAGTTAAGTAAATGTGTTCATAGGTGTGTGTGTGTGTGTGTGTGTGTGTGTGTGTGTGTGTATGCACACATGTATGCACATATACAATTGCCTAATAATCCTATATTGACCTGTGTTCCCATGGTCACATCCTGGACCTGGATTATTGATCCTTTTTAATAATCAAGTCAACTTTATCTATAGAATCTTAAACTCCAGATAATCCATTCTCATACTCTAATGTCCTATTTTTCAACTTCTTCCTGAGCTTCAATGAGCTCAAACAGCACTAACACTGTTTTCTGACTTCACAGAGGTCTCCCTTCCTAATTCTTCCAGACATCAGTAGCCTTCTGTTTGTACTTCCCTCCCAACCCAGCTTGGATTATATAACTATTCAAATGAATTGCAGTCCCACAACCTATTTCCTCCAACTTACACCTCAGTTATTGAGTAATGCTGGAGAAAAACACTCAGTAATGCTGTTAAAACATAAACTGAGGCATGATTCAAACCAGGCAGCATAAAACTAAAAGTGGTTAGGAGAACTCCACTGCCAGGAGCTAAGGGAAGGTTTTCAATAAAGAAGATATAGAAGTAGGGGCGCCTGGGTGGCTCAGTCGGTTAAGCATCTGACTTCGGCTCAGGTCATGATCTCACAGTTTGTGAGTTCGACCCCCGCGTCAGGCTCTGTGCTGACAGCTCAGAGCCTGGAGCCTGCTTCAGATCCTGTCTCCCTCTCTCTCTGACCCTCTCCCACTCACACTCTGTCTCTGTCTGTCTCTCTCTCAAGAATAAATAAACATTAAAAAAATTTTAAAAAGATACAGAAGTAAAGCAAGGAAATTATTTGACTGGCTATAGCATAAGCAGTTGCCTTGTTTGGGAGAGCCTAGTTGGCTATTTGTGATTGATTGGCTTCAGGTTTCATTTTCTTAGACTCAAGTGTGTTGACTCTGGTTTAGGTTTTGGTTTGCTTATGCAGGCCACCAAAACATTAGAGCCACCTCATCTAATGGCCTCCTTATTTAATTACTTGAACAATGCAAAACTCCCAAGGCAGGAACTCCCCCAGATGGCCCTGTTTCCCTTACTCAGAAGAGAATATTTCTTTCTCTTAAATCTCAGAAGATTTGACCATGTCTTATTCCCTTTGTTTCTCTAGAATTTTGCCCCTTGTTGGTGAACTTTACAATTTAGGACATTACTCTGGATGCAGTGTTGCATTGATTGATTGCAGGCCAGGCAAGAGAGTGTGCAAGGACAGTGGGAACCTGCTGTAGGCTTTACAGGGGTGGTAACAATGGCAACAGAAGTGAATGACTTTGGAATAAGTGTAGGCAGTTGAATCACAAAGATACAATAATTGTAGGATGGAGTGCAGGGACGATGAGGTAGGAATGAGTGTAAGGTGAGGAAATTTCTGGTTTGAGAAACTAGGTGGTGATATCTTCACTGACACAGGAGAATACTGGGGAGGTGGGGGAACCTGGGTTTACAGAGAAAAAAAAATTAGAAACTTCATCTATATATTAAGTTTGAGATAGTTGTGAGACTGCCTACTGGAGATGTCTAAGAAGATGATATGAAGTGTGCTCTCCAGAAGAAGATTCTGAGGTGGAGGCATAAGTTGAGAAGATGGCTCCAGATAAATGATATTTGAAGGCAGATAGTGAAAGAGAAACCTTCAAGGGAGAGAAAACAGAAGATAAAAGAGGAATTTGTTCTAAGGAACTCTAACAGCTTATGGAGGGGAAGGGGAGAAAGAGCCATCACTGAAGAGCAAGAAGGTGAGGACAAATGGATACAAGGACAGTATGATATAAGAAGCCAATAGCATAGACCATTTTATTTATTTTTTTTTTAATTTTTTTTTTAACATTTATTTATTTTTGAGACAGAGAGAGACAGAGCATGAACGGGGGAGGGGCAGAGAGAGAGGGAGACACAGAATCGGAAGCAGGCTCCAGGCTCTGAGCCATCAGCCCAGAGCCTGACGCGGGGCTCGAACTCACGGACCGCAAGATCGTGACCTGAGCCGAAGTCGGAGGCTCAACCGACTGAGCCACCCAGGCGCCCCAGCATAGACCATTTTAAAGAGGAGAAGATGGTCAGTTATATCAAACACTATTAAGGAGCTGAATAAGAGGAGTCAAAAATGTCTATTCTTTGCAAGATGAAAGTTTTTGATGACCTTGAGAGGGCTGTTTCAGTGGGGAGCTGAGGCAGAGGCCAACCTGGAGTAGATTGAATAGACTAGAGACAATGAATCCAGACAACTCTTTAAAGAAATCTGGCAATGAAGAGAAAAAAAGGAGTCAGTGTGGTGGTGGGGGCAGGGTAGTAGGGAGGTTAAAATATGGGGACATGGTTTAAATGATGATCGGAAGGAATCAGTAGAAGGGAGAGGTTAAAGATGGGTGACCCTGGACACAAGGGGCTGAAATGTGGTGAAGATCATGGACAACAAGGAGGTCAAGGACCTGAGAAGCCAAACATCTTTGAATACCTCAATTTGTTCAGAGTTTTCTCATCTACAACCTTCTAAATCTTTTACATTTTTTTCTTTCTTATTTAAATCATTAATCCATGGGGCACCTGGGTGGCTCAGTCAGTTGAGCATCTGACTGTTGGTTTCAGCTCAGGTCATGATCTCATGGTTTGTGAGTTTGAGCCCTGCATTGGGCTCTGTGCTGACAGCTGCGAGGCCTGCCTGGGATTCTCTGTCTCCCTCTCTGCTCCTTTCCCACTTGCTTTCTAACTCTCTAAATAAATAAACAAACAAACAAACACTTAAAAAAATTTTTTAATGGGGCGCCTGGGTGCCTCAGTCAGTTAAGCATCTGACTTCAGCTCAGGTCATGATCTCACAGTTCACAAGTTCAAGCCCTGCATCGGGCTCTTTGCTGACAGCTCAGAGCCTGGAGCCTGTTTCAGATTCTGTGTCTCGCTCTCTCTCTGCCCCTCCCCTGCTTGCACTCTGTCTGTCTGTCTCTCTCTCAAAAACAAACTAGCATTTTAAAAAATGTATTTTTGAGAGAGAGAGAGACAGAGTATGAGTGGGGGAGGGGCAGAAAGTGAGAGGGAGACACAGGATCCAAAGCAAGCTCCAGGCTCTAAGCTGTCAGCACAGAACCCAAAGTGGGGCGGGGCTCGAACTCACAAGAGATAATGATCTGAGCCAAAGTTGGACGCTCAACTGGCTGAGCCACCCAGGCTCTCCAATAAAACATTTTTTTAAAAATAAATCAGTAATCTACCTGGACATGATGTTTATGTATGATATGAGATTACCATTTTCATTTTCTTCTATTTGGATAACTAGTTATCCTTGGGCCATTTGTTGAATGATTTAACCCCCAAACGTCCCTTGAATTCATTCTGGCCACCCTACCCCTCCATCCTGCTGTATTCAGTCCTCATCCTCTCTGGCCTGAAGCATCACAGAACCCTTCCATTTCTTTTCTCTATAGTCCATGTTCTGTACAGTACCAGGAGAGTTATCTCTCTACAACACAAATGTGGCCATGCCACTCTCCTGATAAAAGTTTTTAAATAACTTCTATTATTACCTGGGGAATAACAGCCAACCCCGAAGCCTGCCATATTTAAGATGTTTCATAATACTTTATGGTATTTCTTAGTTTATCAAGTCATCCCTATTTTCTGTCCTTATCAACGTTTATTTGTACTCACATACTACTGTGTAGAGAATATACAGCTCAGATTTTCAAGTCCTTTGTCAGAACTACTCACTGGAATCATAACTGATATATTTTTAAAGTTCTAACTCATTTATTTGACATTTATTTGGTATCTACTATGTATTAGACATGATATGGAATTATAAGTTTCAGAGTTTACAACCTAAAGAAGGACAGAAAACATTAATCCAAATATGTGTTTAAAAGAGAAGATGTACAGGTGCCTGGCTGGCTCAGTTGGAAGAGTATATGACTCTCGATCTCGGGGTTGTGAGTTTGAGCCCCACGTTGGGTGTGGAAATTACTTAAATAAATAAAAAACAAAACTTTAAGAATAAGTGGGAAGATATTAGTAGGAGGCATTTGAGTAAACTGCTAGGAGAGTTCTGATGGGGAGAAATGCCATTTTATTTGATGGAAATCATGGAGGCTTTTGGAAAAGTTAACTGGGTAATGAAAGATAGATAAAATTTAGAAAATCAGCCTTTTAGGTACAGGGATGGCATCAAGCAAGACAAAAGAAATGAGGAAGTGTGTGCCCTTGGAGATGGAGCAGGAGAAAGATGAATGGCTAGAAAGGTAAACTGAGGCGAGAGCACAAAAGTCCTTTGAAGGACAAGTTAACAGATTGGGCCCTAGTTATTTAGCACTGGGAGTCGGTGCAGTTAGGGGATTGACATAATTAGGTTGTGACATGATCCGATGGGTTGGAATGCAGAGAAATTAAACCTAAGGGTACGCACTAATAGTCTAGGCATGGTGTGCTATGGCTCCTTGGAGGCAGAAAAGCCAGAACGAATGCAACAGAAATTTTAAAGCAGAATTTATAGAGGTTAAATGACCAAACGAAGGAGGCAGTAACCGGTCCAGTTTGGCTCCAGAAAATAGCTATGGTGAGCATTTCATGAGAAATCCCTGCCTCTGGTGAAGCAGCACTTATAATTGCATTTGCCTAATGGAATTTCTTGTTCTTTCTTTTCTTTCTTTCTTTCTTTCTTTCTTTCTTTCTTTCTTTTTTTCTTTCTTTCTTTTTTTTGTGACTTTAAAAAACATTTAATATTTAAAGTTGCTTCCAAAGCCTAACTTTATGCCTTGAGATTAATGGTTTTATACTTGCTTCCCTTTCCCTCCTCCTCTTTTTTTTTTTCCATATATGAAGTTTATTGTCAAATTGGTTTCCATACAACACCCAGTGCTCATCCCAAAAGGTACCCTCCTCAATACCCATCACCCACCCTCTGCTCCCTCCCACCCCCCATCAACCCTCAGTTTGT